AAAGGCACGTCCTCCCATTGCGTTTTATTTATTCACAAGCTAAGTAAACATGACCACGGTGCCGCCGAGTCCAAACTTCAAGCTAGAACGACAAATTAACCTACCTGTCAACAAACTTTAATCTCGCTCCTTCAAAGAAAGAAAGAATGGTTATAATCAATAAATCATTGAACCTTTCATTGTTCATTGCATTTTATTTCTCGACGAAATATTTAATCATGCTCGGGAAAGTCGCCGACCAAGGACCACATAGTAACTGTACAAGTCACTCGCTAACATTTTCTCCACCGATCGATCTTCAACCAAGCTTCTGGGCTTCCGTAAACAACAGAGAAAGTCCCTCTATCGACAACCCTCATATTCTCTTTGCTAATATCACTGAGCGTTACAGCAGGAATACCAATATTTTCCAGCTTTGTAGATTGATCTTTCAAGATTTACCAGGGCAGAAACAACATCAACAGTAATGTCCAGTAGTTCCACGCAATATGTCGCAAATAAGCAGCACAGCTTGAGAGATAAGGGATTTGCCAAATCCCGTCGGCAAATTTATGAACTCATCGGTCTTCGCTATAAAATTTGCAGGATAGCTTCTCTCTCATACTTGTTTAACTCTGTATTAATTACAAATTTCTCGCTCACTCGATCAAAAGCCTCACTGATCGTGAGAATCTTAAGAAGCGGCTCGGGTTACGTTTTACAAAAATCCGTAAACGGCCTGTGATTGGTGAACGTAAAAGTCGGCTCTGTTTAGCAGACGTCCGTGGGGGAGAAATTCATGCGTGACAAACGAACCCCAAAGGACGTCTGCGGGGAGGCTAAATACAGTCCGGCTTTATTGTACTGCGTGACAAATAAATTAAAACTTTCGCGGGAAAAATGGGCTTCGTTTTTCGACGATTTCGCTTGCTTATTAAAAAGATTATTATCAATACGGTGATTTATAATGTTTTTCCTTGTAATTAGGGATATAAAAGTTTTCAATTATCTCTTCTGAAGTCGTAAAAATCTATTTTAAGACATTTACGAACCACAATCACAGTAAAACGAAACGTGGCGCTATAAAATTTGGCGGGAAATATTAATACTCGACGCTTATTATTGTACTTTCGCATGCCATTTTCTCCAATTTGCTGCTAGGTACCAATTTTAAACAAACTGGATTTTGATAACAGCACAATAAGCCATCTAGAAATGATTTTACTTTTGAAATAAACTGCCGCATCTCGGTAAAACAGTCAACTGAAAATGACTGAAATTTGGGTGACGCTTATTAACGATTCAGGAGCGATTTTTAGCACCAGGTAAAAAATAGAGTATTTAAGCAAAGGAAGTTTAACATATTCCAGTCGACTAACGAAGCGATAGGTGTTATGGAAAAAATATAAGAACCATTGGGAGTTTGGCCAAGTATGTTTTAACTTCACCCAAAGTTAGCCAAAATTTGTGCTTTTTTAGGTCGCCGGAGGTCCCAAAATCTCGAAATAGTGATATCTCGAAGAAAATATACCTGCCAACTTTTTCTGAGATATAAGCGTGAGATTTTTATCCTGGGAGTTCTGGGATTTTTGCAGACGACACGATCATTTCCGAAGATTCCCGAAGAATTCCGAAGTCTTCTGAAGAAGTCCGAAGTCTTCCGAAGACGTCCGAAGTCTGCCGAAGGCGAAGTTATCGAAAAAACGCTTATCCACAAAATCAGAGATCGCGAGGAAGGTATTGTTATTTATTCATTTACACATGGTTTTCGTTCCTTACATAGGTCTGAGTTAACATATTTTTGGAAATTGTGTCAAGCAAGACGGCAACAACTCACATTTTTCAATCAGGCGTGAGAAATTGGCCGGCAGGCGTGAGCCGGCGTGAGATCGAAGTTTTCAACCCGCAGGCGTGAGACTCACGCCTAAGGCGTGAGAGTTGGCAGGTATAAGAAAATCGAACGGCTACTTCTCCAAATGCCATGGTTGTTAATCTTTTCAGATAGCTTTCATACTGTGAAAACATGAAGGTAAACGGCTGACCTCGATCTTTTGCTATTGCCCGGTTTTTGCTGACAATAACACTTAACTAAAAATGACACTTATTCACAAGGCAACAAGTGTTATGAAAACGGAGTGGAAACATTGCATTGAAAATTATATACAACTTTGAGATAAGCCAGAAAGCGATAATAGATATGATTACTAAATCAATTTTACTTGGAAATTCAGAAGAAAAGTAACTATGACTGACATTTGAGGAGATGATTTTTATACCGCTTTTCAAAACTGCTAGTAGAGAGCCGTGTCAAGTTACATATACACAAAAGTAATCGCCAGTGTTGGTCCTTACTTTTGGTCGATGAATATTACCCCTAGAGGCGTATCTGGTGTTAAAACAGTGAAGGATCATAATCCGGACAGGCCTAGAAGCGCCTGATACTCAGGTTAGCCTAACAAAGCTGTATAATTTGAGTAAAGCATTTCTTCACTGACTTGAATCTTGGTCAGACCGTTTGCATACATGTGTAATGTATCTTCTGCCATCTTCCATGATTTTGAAATATATTTATTGAACGGTTCGATTTACGTTTTTTGCTGGCGTGGCAGGAAAAAGCCGCGATATTGTTGGCGATCTATTTTAAGTGCACCGTTTAGGAAAAATTGACACACACAATATGCAAGGCTATGAATTAATACCTTCCGAAAAAACCGTGTATAAACATTCGCTAAACAAAATCTGTAATAAAGGTCAAAATTGATAAAAATAAGAATTATTTTCAGAAAGGCTTCTGCTTGACTATACAAAGTCAACTTAAAAAAAGCCAATACAATAAGGAGGTGCTCTCAGATATCGTCACAATTAGGTTCGAGTAGTGGTCGCCTATGTTCACTATAAAAGACGACGTTGAATTCTGTTTATTATACACTGAAAATTATGTAAGATCAGTGGTACATGTAGTAATCGTAGGTTTCAAGGGTTCGATGAAAAGAAAAAAAAAAGATATTGACTTCGACCGCGTTCATTATGGGGCCAGGCAGGCGGTACAATTCCGATTCTTTGTATACTGTTCTAAACACACTTCGCTACGCATTGCTATGAAAAAAGCTGGTGGTTCTTTCAGGAAGGCACTCGACTGAAGCACACATTCAGAGAGCTCCTTGAATAATGTGAAAATACTCTTTCAGTTTGATAATCGTTCCTATTCAGTGTACCTCCATTGTATCTAGCAGCTTAAAATTTTCTCTAGCAGTTTTAAATTTTGCTGGTAATGAAAGATTTCCCTTGCCACTTGGGAAAGATTAAATTGGTGAATGAAAAAAATGCTTTCCTATATAGAAGTGGATACTCCAGGGGTCCGCATATGTCTGTTCCCAGAATTATCACTTTAAAAAGAAAAAAAAACAACAACTCCACCAACTCGTGGCTCCCTTTGCGAAAAGCGGTGAAAAATTAATCGTGATTGAAGGAAATATCCGAACTTACGTGACTCCCGAAACTGCGCTCTTTTCTACCATCGCATAATTCCCTCTATTTTTTCTATTATCATTTTCTTGGTTTTAACCGGCGACATTTTTCAGCTGCGCACAGGCGTTCGTGACCACAGGTAGCTAAGCCCTCGGAGAAAGAAGCATTTCAAGTACCCATAAAATAAAACTAAACACGGATGTGATTCCTCCAGAGAACCACTCGAAGCACTCAATATTGACGTAGTGAAGACCCCATGGGCCTTCCGCAACAATAACCGTCACGAACAATTATCTGTTTCTAAAAAGATCTTTGAAGCTACCGGTTTTTAGGGTGGACTCAGAAGGAAATGCGATAGCGTTGAATCCACCCTTAGTTCCCCATTGTGTTGTAAATTACATAGGTTACGTTAAACAATGTAAATATACAATATTGAAAGTAGGACTTGTTATGTGAGATGTGATCGTGTGGTATATCTCATACCCCATTGGTGATTTTTTTAAGGTTGACGAGAGTACAATTCCCTGAATTCGTATTACAATAGTTTTTGTTGCTGTTTCTGCGAGACTAAATGTATTTATGCTTAAATAAAAACCCTTAGAAATGGACGTGATTCATTCAGGAAGGCACTTGAAGCACATATTGTTCACAAAGCTATTTAGAGTCCTCAAGCCTTAGGTAACAATAAACGACCTAACAGTCATCTGTATTTCACAGATAAGGGTTTTTGAGGCGAGTTTTAGTTTCTCCATTGAAGTATTGTACGAAAGAACATGGTTGACATCGAAGAAATTATTGATCATTAGAATCAAAACGAACTATATGCATGGGATATGATGTGGAATAGGTCATCGGTGGAATAATACTGATAATAATAATAATAATAATAATAATAATAATATTAATATTAACAACAACAATAATGATGATAATGATAAACAGTTTTGGGTCAAGTTCGTTGGAGGTTTCCTGGAGTCCTATTATGTATTTCTTAGCAAGAACCATTCTGACATCCATATGCTCATCCTTCCTACAGGATCACGTATAGTATTGATTGATTGATTAATTCATTTATTTATTTGTTTATTTCTCACTTTCGTAACACCCTTTTACGTCATATCCTCATTTTGAAGTTTCCGATCATTCTTTCAAAGAAATATATTTTCGTGAATCTGTGATTTGTCTTCAATAAACCGGATAAAACTAATATCGTCAGATCCAATTATTGCACCTTTTTTTAACGTTCTTTAATCAGTCATCAACAGCACTTTTTTGCAGTTGAGAGTAATCCACACACATAATCTAACAGCTACCTGTAGCACAATCCATTCATATCATATTTCATATCATGACCGTAATGTGAAAAAAAAAAATCTACAATATAAAAATAAACATAAATCTACAATATATGCGAACGCTAAACTATCACAAATATTTTCACGCTGCATTTAGCAACCGAATATATTATTTTTAAAAATAAATATTTTGCGCAGCACAGCATATAAATAGGGCGTTGTAGGACTAACCAAGGCATTGAAACGCAAGGCGAAGCCCGAAGAGTAAAGGTACAGCTGTGGTCTGCGTAACTGAACGGATAACAACCGGGAGAGCTTTTACATGATTAAGGTAAGGAATTATTATAACTATATAAAAACAATTTATTGCGGCACTTTGGAATATAAGGACAATGTTAAATTATTGCTCGTAGAACGAACATGCAGCATTCCTCCGCAGTACAAAAATTATTATAAGGGATCGATATTAGTGGCTTGAACAGCACCTTAAATAAAAAGTAAAATAATTCCTTTTACTAAAGGAAGAAATAGTTAATAACTTGGATTTACTAGTTTCTCTTGATAGGTGGTATTGTTCCTCGGTCCAAATTTGAAATTGGTCGCCCATTTTGAAGGTTTCGAATTCAGCTGAAGTCAATTTTCTTTTGACTTAGAGCCGGAATCCCACTAAGCTCACAGGTATAATAAAGGTGAAATCTGAAAAAAAGGAACATACAATGTTTACTATTCTAGCTTTACCGTCAATATTACCGCGGGTGTCTTGAAAGAAAACCTACTCTTCTATGAAACTATTAGCCGTTTAATACTATTAGGACGATGGTTACATTCACGTTCACGAGTAACTGCGACTCCAAGACCTATGTGAAGTTATCTTAAAAAGGGGCGTCAAAACCGAATGCGTGTTATTATCAAATACCTTAGTATTTTGTCTCACGTGGTATACATAGCGCTCCGCATCCGGGGCTATTAAAAGTCACTTGCCAGTTACGACACCAGTACTGCAGGCTATCCTTGCAGGGAATTATCAACACTGGACTGCTTTTGATGACATTACAGCACAGCTAGTAGTCTAAGAAAAGTGCAACAGTGTTTTAGACCACACTACGGAGATCGCTGGACTAGTTCAATCTGTACCCTCGTAGTTTTCATTTAAAAGAGAAGTGCGGCGGGTATTAATCATCTCGTCGACTCACGAAAACCGCACAATATCAATCAATCTCTCTCACACTTTCCGCTCTCTGTAAAACGCTTGGTAGTGAAGACTTAGTGCACCCGTGTCACATCACGTGACGATTTGTTTATGGTTTAGAAAAAAGTATTTAAAAGCAATATCATTTCTTGGCAATAGGAACCGCTATGCTAAAAAAGTTTTAAATTTACTCTGATAAGAACTTCAAGGAAAAAGCAAAACAAAATAAAGCGCAAAAAAATATCAAAAGCGTTCGCGTGCAATCTTTGCTTCTACCATCGTGTACGAAGTAGATTTTAACAACGTGACTTTACAATTTTTTTCCCCAAAAGCCCTTACGGACGAAAGGGCAACAAAATACCAAATGGATCTGCAACAAAATGCCAAAATTATAGATTTTTGGCGGGATTGCTTCAATATTCTGGGAAAGTTAACTTATCACCAATTCACAGGAATTCATTTTAATTTGTTTTCGAACTTGGCGTCGCCCCCGCAATGAGAACACGTGGCTTTTCACAAAAAGCAGGGTTTCATAGCTTTAAGTTAAACATTTCCAACTTAATTCAAGTTCTTGAGTCACATCTTTAAGTTTTATTATCTTATTTTCAACAAATGAATTTCTATGACGTTTTACAAGCTCTCTGACTAACGACATTATAATTATTATTATTATTATTATTATTATCCACAAAAATCTGATCAAAATGGCGCGTTATTATCCCGAAGCTTCCTTACAGTCATCACCCGATCTAAACCGCATGCTTATTATGTAAGATTTCTTTCAGTCCCAATTACGTAACTTTACAGTAATCGGCCATCCGAAGGACCGACCATACTTTCAACTGACGGACGAAACGACTGACCCACCATAGTTCCCCTATAGCTCACTAACATTTCACGAGCAAAAGTAGTCACACATACACAAATTAAACCTGTTCAACGTACTCAGTCGTGATTATCAAAAATTGATAAAAATATGAATGATCATCAGAAAGGCTACTAAAGGCACGTCATATCGATCCACGTCAAAAGACTTGAGGTGGGATGTTTCGATTGGCCGATGCAAATATAGCCTGGCGAGTGCAGACGTCTCCTGTTTTCCCTGTTGAGCGCGGAAAAGAGACAACAAAAAGAATAATTATATTAAGCTGTCAGCACAAAAAAGCCGAGGCTTATGTGACAAGAAAGTGTCCCAAAATCTTTGTTTAGATGTCTGTTTAATGAATATTTTACACCATGTTTGCTGGGATGACATACGTTAACTAATTTGCACTTGAAAACAAACTAATTAATAAAAGGATTCTAACAGTAGTATTCAAATGACGACATCTTGCAAATTACTATCAGCTATAAGGACAACTGCACGAAGACATGATTTTTCTTAAAACGACAAAATTCTCCGGGATTCATTTTTCTTGTCCAAACTGGGCTCAGTAATGTTTCTAAAAATTTCAGTGGCATATTCAAATTTAAAAGCAGGAAGGAAAACCAAAAGAATTCTCGTAGTATCAAACAAATGACTTTATTGTGAAAATGTCGTGTAAAATCCATACAGTTGTGTCATATCACTTCCTTAATATTATATTGGGCGGTCGGAATACCTGACTTTTAAAAGGACTATCTATTAAACATACTGTCATTAATGATTACGTAATACTGTTTGCGGTTCAAAGACCACTGCAAATGCGTGTAATACTGAACTAAAAAGAGGCCGGGGACAACGATATAGATTCTGAAACAGGTCAGTCAGAACACATTCCGATCTAATACGCCACTCCGAATATCGTACCACAAGACTTTTTACGTTGTTTGATAAACCCCTGCAGTGGAATTTTTTTAATAGCCGTTCACACACAAATATAAAATTGGTAATGCTTGTTGAATGTAAGTGTCTTAAATTCATATTTCATCTACAATAGCCAATAACAATAGCCGCATATATTGATTTTAAAAATATATATATTGCGTAGCACAGCATATATATAGGGCGTTGTAGGACTAACCAAGGCATTGAAAAGCGAGGCGAAGCCTGAAAGGAACGCACAGCTGTAGTCTGCGTAACTGAACGGATATTAAAAACTGGGAGAACTTTACATAATTAAGGTAAGGAATTATACTAAACTATATAAAGCAATTTCTTGCGACATTTTGGAATTTAAGGAAAATGTTGAATTATTTGCTCGTAGAACGAACATGTAGCATTCTTCCGCATTACAAAAGTTATTATAAGGGATCGATATTAGTGGCCTGAACGGCGACTAAAATAAAAAGTAAGATAATACCTTTTACTAAAGGAAGAAAAAGTTAATAACTTGGTTTTACTAGTTTCTTGTGATAAGTAGTATAATTTAAAATTGGTCAGCCATTTTTGAAGGGTTCGACTTCAGCTGAAGTCAATTTCCTTTTGACTTAGAACCCAAATCTCATTCAGCTCTCTGATATAACAAAGGTGAAATCTGAAAAAAAGCAACATACAGCTAGTGTTTACTATCTTAGCGTTACTGTCAATACTAAGGCGGGAGTCTTGAAAGAAAACTTGGTTTTCTATGAAACTGTCAGCCGTTTAATACTATTCGAACGATCGTTACATCCAAGTTCATGACTAACTGCGACTCCAAGACTTTTTGTAAAGCTACTTTAAAAAAAAAGACCGAATGGATATTATTATCAAATGCCATAGTATTTCGTCTCACGTGGTATATAAAGCATATTCCTGCATCCGGGGCTATTAAAAGTCACTTGCCAGTTACGACACCAGTACTGCCGGTTATCCAGGTGAGCTTTAAATGCAAGGAATTATCATCACTAGACTGCTTTTGACATTGCAGAAGAAAAGTGCAACAGTATTTTAGACCACACTACGGAGATTGTTGGACTAATTCAATTCGAGTAATTCGTACACTTGTAGTTTCCATTGAAAAGAGAAGTGCTGCGAGTATTGATCATTTTTTCAACAGACGAAAACGGTGCAGTATTAATTAATCTCTCTCTGACTTTCCGCTGAAGTCTTAGTAAACCCGTGTTACATCATTCATGGTTTAGGAAAACGTATTTAAAGCCAATATCATTTTTTAGCAATAGGAACTGCTATGCTAAAAAAGCTCAGCTTTTACTTTGATAAGAATTGCAAGAAAAAAAAATAAAATAAAATAAAGCGCGAAAAATAGCAATGGCGTTCGCGTTTCATCTTTGCTTCTAAATTGTGTAAAAGATAAATTTTAACAAAGTAACTTTTCACAATTTCCGCAAAAGCCCTTAGGGACGAAAGGACAGACTGGATCAGTATCCGCAAAAAATCCCAAAATTATTTACCATAGACTTCTCTCTCACTGACATTTCACGGCCGTGAAAAGAGTCACACATACACAAATTAACCCTGCTGAACGAACTAAGTCGTGATTATCAAAATTTGCTAAAAATATGAATGATTGTCAGAAAGGCTTCTAGAGGGACGTCATCTCGAACCACGTAAAAAGACTTGAGGGGAGATGTTTCGAGTGGCCTATGCAAATATAGCCTAGCGGGTGCAGACGTCTCCTGCTTCATTGTTGCGCGCGGAAAAGGATAACAAAGGAAATACAGGATGTCAGCACTAAAAAGTAGACTTATGTAACAAGGAAGTGTTCCAAAAACCTTTGTTCAGAGGACCGTTTAATGGATATATATATTTCTATTACGCCATAGTTGCAGAACTTCGCCGGGTTGTTAACTAATTTGCATTTAAAAAATAAACTAGTAATTAAAAGGATTCTACTGAGCAGTAGTCAACTGATTACATCTGTCAAAGTACTATTAACTACAACTAAGGACAACTCCACGAAGACATCATTTTTCTTACTATAACAGGATTCTACAGTCTTGATTTTTCCTTTTCAAACCGGAATTAGTAATGTTTCTAAAAATCTCAGTGGCATATTCAAATTTTAAAACAGGAAGCAACACCAAAAGAATTTAATTTGTAGTTTCAAACAAATGGCGTTTTTGTGAAAATGTCGTGTAAAATCCATACAGTTGTCTCGGATCACTTTCTTGATATTATATTGGTCAGTCGGAATACACCTGACTTTTAAACGGACTAATTATTAAACATACTGTCATTGATGATGCAATACCGCTTGCGGTTCACTTCAACGCTGAAGTTCAAAGACCGATGCAAAGACGATAGAAATTCTGATACAAGTCTGTCAGAACACATCCCTATTTTATTGGCCACTCCGAATATCGTACCACAAGACTTTTTACGTTGTTTGATAAATCCCTGCAGTGGAATTTATATTTAATAGCCGTTGATACCTAAATATATAATTGGTAATACTTGTTAAATGTAACTGCCTTAAATTTGTATTTCATTTACAGTAGGCATATCTTTTGGCTAATTATGTCTTTTCAAGATATTACGCGCAGCGCAACATTTAAAAGCGTAACCGGCGATTTTCAGGTGTTAATTAGGTGTTCAACGTTGTAAGATCCAAGGCGTTGGAACAAACTGGATCGGTTGAAGAAGCCCTAAGAACGAAGAACGTGTATGTAGATGGCTATAATAGAGGTAACTGAAGAGGAAAGATTTGTGAGATTACTTATGATTTAGCTGCATGGTGGTAATTTAAATAATCATGAAAAAGTTTTAATGTGGCGTTTGGGATATAAATCTAATGTTGAGTTAACTTCGGTTAGAGCAAAATCAATTTCTCTTATGTACAAAATAATTAATAGGGATAGTGGCGTAACAGAGACATCTAAAATGTAAAGGAAGATATCTTGTTTTATTAATTAAAGTCAGCAAGGAACAGGTAATAACTTTCAACTCTCTGGCAGGTAATACCTTGGTTTTACTAGTAACTCTTGATAAAATGTACTGTCCCTCTAATCCATAGTGTAGTGTGACCGAGGTAATCGAGTAATAGGAATTCTATTGTATTACGTAATTCCACTAATGACGCAATACTGTTCATTGTGTTCACGATCTAATCTATAGTGGTTTTGTAAGCGCTCCTTTAGAAAAGAGATAATTAAATACACAAAGTTTTTAAACCACTGCAAAAGCCAAGAACGATAAGCGTTGCAACGTGGTCAATCATTATCAACCAAATTACAACCATTGAAAACAATGGATCATTTGAAGGCTGAAAAGACAAATTCGTCGATTACAGTAACTGTAATCGACGAGTTTGTATTTTCAGCCTTTTTAAATGATCTATTGTGACCGATTGGAGGATGAAAATATATACGAACACTATTTCGTTGTTCTAGGTCATTTTGTCAAAAAAGTCCTGGAAAAAATTGAAATATCCTGCACTGAAAAAAAATATCGCTCATGATTGATAATGTTGAAAAAAAAAAAAATACTACATCGTTATTTCAGTCTCGTTGAAAAGTTTCTAACTCCGGAGAGGTTGGGAAAAAAATCTTCAAACTAAATCAGTAAAATCACCCATACCCCACTCCCCCACAAACGTCCAATGGTCATGTCAACCATTTATGGGGCGACGGAAGAAACGGATTTAACACGTTAGTAAATGTCATCCATCAACATAATGGCTGGCGCGCGTTCATCATGTGGTGGTTTTCAAGACTAAAGTTTTGCATTTCAAGATTGAAAATACGGCGATAAAAGACACAAAGGAAAGAGAAAGTTAAAAATAATGCTCAGTTTCCTTTTTGTGGACAAACGAAAGCTTTTCGCTATGACATTGTCTTTTGAGGGATTCAACCTTGTTTTCTACGGATCGGAGCGCTGGGCTTGTTTTGAACCAACAAGGCAGCAAGGTTTCTGAAGACACTTGAGGTATAACGTACATTCCGTATTCTACGATCAAAGAAAAATACTTTTTTAAAAGGGAGTTTTTGTATTTTAAAGCATTGCCAGAAATTAGGGACAGAATGGCGGTTGCGCGTGCGCACTAAGGCCACAATGGCTGCGAATTCGCATAAGAAAATGTATGGAGATAAGGAAACTTTTTCAAATATATCGATTATGAGCTCACGGGTGTTCGGTGCCCGACTCGAAACATGTTAAGTGCTGTGTAACCTTCGCATCTGGGTTAAAAATAGCTAATTAGAAGTAGGTTTACTTACTTCCTGACGTGGCCACTTTTATCCCTCGTTGTACGCTCCATTTCTCCATACATTGTCTTAAAATCTTGCCGAGGTCATGCAAAATACTCGTCGATTAGAGGATAAACCCTTCACTGAAGTAAATTTGCCCGACTTGATATCACTTCTGCGATGGAAGATGTTTCCAAAACAGTCGTTCAAAGGACGATTTTTGCACTGCAAAATACTTCCAAAGGCGCATTATTTCCGTCCGTTTTCCATCTGTGGTCTAGTAATGTACGCCATAGTTGCGAATGACACATTTCGGTCGGACAAAGCTTCACAACTCCAAATCTAACCGAATCGCCATTTTGTTTGTTGCTAAAACTCCAGAGATGCTTCAGGGGATATAAACTAGGTTCCAGGCATTCAAAAATCCTCGATTAGCCTACCAGGCTTGGTTTTAAAACAAAATTGTCACGAAAATGTCACGAAAGGTACATCCGTGTACTGTTTTGTTGCTATCAGCCGCTCGGTCGAGTATAAACCTAAAATTTCCTTGCAAGGTGTTTTATTCCAGCCTTTTTCTTCGTAAAACAGATCACAGAGTTCAAATTATTTAAAAAATCGCAGGGGATACGCTTTCCCTGACTACGATCGTCTTTGTCCGCCATTTGAAAATGAGATTCCGCTGACAATTAATCACGGGCGCGAAATGTCCACGATTTCTGGCAATGGTTTCATGGACAGTTTTCTACATTTTGACATCGGCGTGAAAGAAAAACCACCAAATGTGCATTTGATATTGATTTTTTGCCATGTGCTCGACCGATTTAACTTGCGTGAACGCAATGATCTAACTTGTCTTACGCGAATTGCTTTTTAGGATTAACTTATGGGTTTTTTAATAAAAATTTTCAAGAAATTAATTTATTTATCTGTCATTGTTCATTCATAACATTAGCTCAAGAAACGACCTTGACACCACAGATCGTGAGATTTTTAGAAACATTCAGACAGGCCCTTTCTTGAATTAAAACTGAAGTGTTGTTTTCATGTTCCGCATTAAGGTGCTATTCCTATTCTCATTCATTACTTGTCATTCAAGAATTTCTGCAGTTTTGCAGTGTGCAGCGTTCAGCGTGCTGCTCCTTTTCCTTAACTTGTGCCCTGCTGATTACAGCTGCATACCGCTTGAATTAAGTTTACTGCGTTTGTTTTCAGTTGTTTGTTTACGGCTTTATATTCTCACTGAAAAAGTGACCTTATCTAAAAAATGAAAGAGTTTTCCTCTATTCTAAAACGCACAGACTCGTCGGCTTTTCGAGCTCGAGTTTGTCTTTTTTTTTTAGTGAAAAAAGTTGTAAGTTGCTGTATTAAGTTTATATTTGTAGTGAAAGATTGGCTTATAGTTATTAGTAGCGAAAAAGGTTATCGTTTGCTTTCCATATTTGTCCTCAGAGAAAATGTTATACACCTTACGGTAACATTTTCTTACAGATATTGTGAGGTATAAGTGTAAAGGCTACTCACTATTCGTCCGAGCCCGTTAAAAAGAACGAAAAGAAAAGAAAATATAATGGGCTTACGGGAAAACAAAAGTCCTTAAGTCGGCCTGATTTTACTTTTAGGTCTTCCCTTAAACTCAGACACCGACCCTAGAAATCGTAACCTGTAAATTGCTGCTTCTATATATAAGAGACCTACAATTTAACAATTTTTTTTAAATTCAGGTTTGTTTGCGGGAAATTTTTTCTTAATCATTTATTCCCTCGCTCTAAAGGTGTTTGATACCGAAGGCTCTTAGGATGCGAAGATTTCTTTTTTTTGGCTTAGAGTTTATTTGATTGCTTTTATCATAAGTATAGAAAAGGAGGCTTCGCTTTTAGCCTTGGCTAAATTTATATATCAAGTAGATAGACAGAGTGGATCGGTGGTGTCCAAAAAAATGCTTTGTAACATACAGTAGGCTACCTTTCTTAACTTTATATGATTTAAAGATTTAATGAATTCGTTAAATCAGTATAGTACAAAATGATAAAATTTTTCAAGCCGTAATGAAAAAAAATTCATAAACGCTACTGACCAGTGATAGTCAGTGTTAACTTTGTAACCAAAGAATAAGAGGTAAATAAGCGAAACCACTTTCAAGACATTTTAAAGTTTAAAAAGCGTTTCAAATAAGCTTATAAAGGGGCTAAAATAATGAGAGTATATCAACGCTAATCGAAAGGAAGTGTATCTGAAGAAAGGGTTAAAAAGAAACGAAAAATATTGATATTCTTTGATCTGTATCATGACAGTTTGTATGCTCAGGTTCTGTTTTTAGCAATCGGCCATCAATCAATCAGCTCAATCGATCAAATGTTCAACCACATAAAAAAAACCTTTTAGGAGCGTAGTATAAACTATGCACCTTCTTCACTGCCTAAAATAATATAAGTATAGATTAAATTTATGAAGGGCAAATTCCATGTCCGTCAATGATTCATGCAGACAAAAATCATATGCATGTGTATTTCGCACTTGAAATACCATATATCTGGACGGGGTCAAGGTGAAGATTCTTTTGTCTTACGAAATATTGCCCGATTACACAACAGACTTCTCATCAACTTTGTCGCCACTAGTGTAAAACTAAATAAATGAAGTACTTAAATCCGAACTTTCATCATATGATTGTGTATGCAAATATAATTTTCTGCTACAAACTTTATTCAGTATATGTGCACTGATATTTCCAAAAGTAGGATAGTGAGCTAAGCCCATGAGGCAATAAACAACGCACCATGTTTTTTTCATTGCTGCAGATAATTTTGAAGGAATGAAAATTTCTTTGCGTCCTGCACATATGGCTTTACTCGGATCGACTCAAACTGTTTGCTTAGCTTTTTTGCGATAGGATAGTCAAGTTAATCAATTAATCAATTGGCAATCATCAATCAATCAAACAAAAATAAATTTTTCAATTGTTTAACTATATATCATAATTAAAGGTCTGGATTTTAACTCGAGAACGAGACATATTAAAGGAGTGTAAAATTTAATATGACTACCATATTGAATTTCACTAAAACTTTACAATTCAGGTTGAAATAATCGTTTTTAGTACAACTTTAAGCGTTTAATACTCCTTTAAAAATTAGTCGTTTTCCTAAGAAAGCCTTGTACTTATGCCCCTTGTCACGTCAAAGCTGGTAACCATAGCAACTGAACCCCAAATTGCTAAAATGTCTCTAAAGAACCAATGTCAAACAACTAGTAAAGAAAAGAGTTTTGTTGCTCATAATTGTTCTGTTAGTTCTAAGGCCACGACAACGGGAACATCAAAAAATAACAACATAACAAGTATGCACTACACCAAGCAACCACGACAAGAACTGACCAAATTTTAAGTTCTCTCGAACGTGAACGGCAAGGCCGCGATAAATTTTACAGTGTTTTTCTGAGCTTGGGATGCGCCCTCTCCATTCACAAGATCTAGCTTTGTTTACCGATTATCAAAAACATCTCAAAATTCGGACGTGAAGATCAGATCGGATCTGATCAGATCGTAAGGTTCCTAATGGTGCTCCAGGCCGTCATGATATCGCCAGAACAAGTAAATATCTCAAAGCAATTTGCGATTTTTGCGGACGCTTAGGTTTATTGCATTCTGTAATCACCACCATTAGTTTCTGCTTGTTTCTGTCGATCACTAACATAAAAATCATTTATCCTTTTTTTTTAGTTAAACATGGCAAGTTGCTCACTGGTATGTCAGTTAGTGTTGGTGTTTTTGAGCCTGGGAATGGCGTCCTCCTACTTCAATGACGACGCTTACTCTAATACAGGCTCAATCGAAGGCATGGAGTCAGACGTAATGCTAGATGAGATCGCTGCTCTCGATGAAATAAGTGATGATAACCTATCTGAAGAGGTAGATGATGACATGACCAATTTTGATGAAAACGACGTTCAGGGGCTGGCCGAGGACCCAATGGTAGTAAGAGATATCGCACAGTCTGTAAAACGCCAAATATTAACAGAGGCTAAGCGTCTTGTCTCGTCTTGCAAGAACCCAAAGGTTGATGCGAGGAATCGAAAGCAGGAACGACTAATAGCCTTAAGAAAGTATTACCAGGCATTTGTGCACGGGGGAAAGAGCTTTATCAGTGACGCAAACTGGCTGAAAAATAGAAAGAGTGAAAAATGCAGCGCTTGTCTCTTAAATGAACTCTGCAAACGGACACGGATTCAAGGATTATTGAACATCGACGCCAAACTCCCTGCGTAAGTAATTTTAATCCAGGTATATGACTGGGTTTTCTATGCGAAGAAAAAACTAGAAGCAATCGTATTAGACCCTTTCGTAGATATTTACTGCACCCTCACGGATGTCAAAACCGTGGTTTGTGAGTGCAGAACTTTTGATGGACTAGTCATGATGTTGGAGACCGGTAAACAGTGTACTCATAAGTCTGGTCAGTCACCGTTACCCTCCTCCTCTTTCGAAGGCGAACCAAACAGATCATTGAATTTTAGAAGCCAGGGAACTGTGTTAAGCATAATTAAACCTAACACAATATACAAAAATGTTTGAAATGCATGCTATCCGATTCGTGCCAAATTTGTTCATTCTTCTTAAAAAGAATAGCTATTAAAAAATTATCTTAACCGTGATCTATCTTTTCTATTTATCAGGAAGGAAAGAAATCGTATTTGCAGAAGGAAACTCGTCCGCGAAGCGATGGATGTTTTCGCCGTCAACGAGATCAAGATACAATGTAATCCAAATGCGCCATTTCGAACAATCAATGGAACGTGCAACAATTTACGTAATCCTTCCTTCGGGGCAGCCAGCACAACATTTAACAGACTTTTGCCTGCTGATTATGGAGATGGCATCTCAACTCTTCGCCAAGCGGTAAATGGGCAAGAACTTCCAAACGCCCGGGACGTGAGTCGATTTGCCCATGGAAGCAACGCAGACCGAACAAATCCGAATTCTACCATACTGACTCATCTGGTCATGAACTTTGCACAGTTTACGGATCACGATTTTACTTTGGCAGAGGCACAGGGCGTTAACTGCGAGCCACCCACCAAAAATCCGGAGTGCATTAATATTGAGATTCCCAAAGACGATGCGATATTTCGGGACCGGGAAGTGGATTTCATCGAATTGGAGAGGGAGGCTCCAAGCGAGTCAGACAGTTTTTGCAAACTGGTACCCCGAGAGCATACAAACACTCTAACAGCCTACATTGACGCTTCAAACGTTTATGGATCGACGCAGGAGGTTGCTGACTCGCTTCGCGCTCCAAATGGTTTACTTAAAGTCATGGAGCATCCAGATGGCGCAAAGTTTATGGATTTACTACCTGCCCGTACAGAAACCCTGGAGACGTTTTGTCCATCACTAGATCCAAACAGACCGTGTTTTGTAGCAGGAGACAGTAGGAGTAATGAGAACCAAGGTAAGAACAATTGCTATGATGTTTAATCACCCTAGCAGAAAATGGACTATTTATATCCTTCTTCCAAAAAAAAAAAGGTGCAGTGACAGTTGTTTCGTAACTTTCAGGTCTCAGTTCAGTTCATACCGTATTTGTGCGCCACCACAACCGCATCGCCAAGTTTTTCCGTAAAAGGACAAAATGGGGCCCAGAAAGGATTTATCAGGAGACCAGGAGAATCATCGCAGCACAATTGCAAGTGATTACATACAAAGAATTCCTGCCATTATTTTTGAGTAAGAAAACGGTAGGTTTCTACATTCAAAATTTCAGTCACTGTTCAGTTTACTTGTCGTTTACAAATTATGCCTGTGCGATTCTTGTTGTCAAAAACAGATCCTAAAAGAATCAACAAGTACAAAATTACGCGTTTCCCACTCACATTGAACTGTGGAGCTTTTCTAAATGGCAGAATTAATAAAAAAGCATTTTACGTACCCTCAGTAATTAGAAAAAGGCCTTATAATGCTAACCTTAAGAGTTTTTGTTATTCGAATACTTATATCTAAGGTGTACGATAATTTTTGGTATTTTAGGAAAAACACGCACTAGAAAAGACTGATCTGGCCTGTTCTAAATTTAAACATGACTTTTTCCCCTCAGATCACAAAGTTTGGCCTTGGGCTACTAAAGGGAACACGGTTTTTCAATGATTACGACGAAACTGTGAATGCTCAAATGACCGCTGGCTTTTCTGTAGCTGCCTTCCGATTTGGCCACACCCTGATTCAGGAGTGGTTTAGACGATTCAATCAAAGAAGTTTCCAACACAAAGACAAATCCGAATTCCGGCCTATTCCCGTGCTGGACTTTGAAAATCCACAGTACTTGTACGAGATATGTCAGGGAGGTGTAGATGCCATTTTGAGGGGATTAATCAAGGATGCCGCGGGAAAGGCTGACGGGTTAGTAAATAAGCATTTTTTCTTTCTTTTCTAAATGTCTCCAGAAGGGAAATAAACAAGATTCTTTTTTTTTCGAGACCAATCTCTGAGTATTGACGTCAAGAGTTAGCAATTGCTCTGCGTAATATAGAAATAAACTGTTCTTGACTAATAATTCCTGGGGTAGAGTTGAAGGCTTGACCCAATTCAGTAGTTATTATGAATTAATCATCAAATAAGTGCCTATTTGTTGGTCACCGTTAAAATTTAACTCGGTCTCTGGGAAAATAATACCCTTCTTCACCCCCAGGCTGGAATAGTTTCCAGGGAAAAAAAATCCAGTAAGTAACTGGTCTTTATCCTGATAACATCAAGTGAATACTTTTCCTAATGATTCACAAGTCAAAAGAAAGAAAAAAAAATCATTCAGGGTTTGTGATATTTTAAGAATGAGAGATTAAGCATCGCGTTTACGGCAAACACCAAAGGTGAGATTCAAATTAATAAATTTTCAAAATGAGAAATGAGCAGATAAAAACAGCTTGAAACAATCCTTATGAATAGAATCAATGCGAACGTACCAATTTACGTGTAGCTGTAATGAACAGTAAACGACAAGTAAAGGGGAAGCTTGGTCACGTGGTACAAATTTACGTTTGCCGTCTCTCTAGTATGCTTCATGTTGCTGGGCGAAACTTCAAGGAGACTCCTCGATTGTAGCATCCTCAGTTTGGACTAACATTTTGAATTCTGAAATTCCCTATATCTTTTCATTTTAATTTTATTGCGTAGTTATTTCTGAAGTTATTATTGAAAATATTTGCTTCCGATGTTTTGATTGCCCTAAATACAATTATGTCAAGTACCTTTGAATTGCCTAAGCTCATGTGCAGAATCGGGGAAGAAATGTTCTGCTGCAAGCAATGCATTTCTCATGCCCAATTTGGCCCCGCTTTTGGTGGCTAACTGTAACTGCAACCAACTGTTTCTAGATTGCAGTCTAATTTTCCTTTGTAAGGTTATTTTTAACAAAAATAGCGGTCGAAACTTAAACGGTTGTAATTGCGAAGTCATACATGTCTTTTATCATGGCCAGAAAATAGGATAAGTCAATTAGGTTCAACATCTCCTGCTTAATGCATCAGTCAATTCCACCTGCGCCCAGCCCTCCCCCCTCCCCCCCAGGCAACTTGCGGGGCATTTGCCCGCCTTGTAAGTCCCGGGGGTGGGGCATTTGCAAATGTTGCACTGCCCGGGGGCCGGGCATTTGTCAATCCCCGGGGCAATCCCGAGCTTTTGACACGCACGCGGTTTCCTATCAGAATGTAACTAAAAACAAGGTTTTACTGGAAGAAAAGCAGATTGGCTCATTTGTCAAGGACAGGAATAAATTGTAGAGGGTTGTAAAGGCATGTTCTCGATTTTACATGTATGTATGCATTTCTTCATTGCTTATCAAGCCAGAATTACGTAGCGAAATTGGAGCTATCGATGTGAATCAACGTTTTTTGGTTATTGAATCAAATTTCTGTTGATATTATTTGAAGAACATCCTTTCATATTTATAAAACTATTCATAACATATAACTTTACAGCGCTCTACTAATTTTAATGTCAATAATTTTATACCAATACTAAAACCATAAACTGGTGCATGTCGTCGCGGCGTGAAGTCTTAATTAGAATCCTCGCGCTATTACAAAGGAAGACGTTAATTAAACCAAAAAAATCGCACATTAAAATGCTTAAAACGGCACTATTTGACTGTGCGATCAGTGAAAAATGTTGCAGTTTTGACGGAGGACGGAGCATTTGCCCTCTTTTTTCGTCCCCACTCCGAGGGAATTGACAGCTCAAGAGTTCCCACCCCTGGGAATTTGCCATCCAAGGCAAAAAAAATGCTAATGCCCGGGGGCAGCCCGGGAGGGGGGGGGGGAGAGGGTCTGGGCGCAGGTGGAATTGACTGATGCATAAACCGTTAATTAAACCTTCAAAAGTCATGGTCAGTAGTTCCTTGAAACGAAGATGAAGTGAAAACAAAAATAAAATTGCCAAATGTCATTTTTAAAAGTTACCAATTTTGTTATTTCATATTAAATAGGAGATTTTCAAGCTCTGTACAAGAAAATCTAAGGAGAGGTGAGGGTGATTTGTCTGACTTAATCAGTATCAACATCCAAAGAGGACGTGAACGCGGCGTTTCTGGATACACTAAGTATCGCAACCTTCCGTTATGCGGACTGCCAAAGGTGAAATCGTTCGAGGACCTGGTACGAAAGGCAAACTTTGACCGAAAGGATGTGGCTAATTTGAGGAAAATTTACAAAAACGTTCATGATATTGACTTTTTCGTAGCAGGTAAGTCAAAAAATGTTAAATGCAAAACTTTCAACAGCTAAGATTCTTTAATTATAAGGATGTAAAACGCGACCAAAATTGTCCTTTAATAAAATTAATCAAAAGTCGAGTACCATTATCTCTTCAAGAAAAACTCCGCTTGAAAAATTCCCTAGCACCAATGTTGTGGAATAAGCAATCTTCTGAAAAAAAAAATCCATCCGCTTACACAAAATATCATATTCATTTTCATTCATTTTTATTTCAGTTAACTCGCAAAACGTGCGCACCATCGGCGGTTTTTGGTGCCATTTTCCTGTTTTTGGTCCTGCATCAAAAGTCCTGATTTTGCTTAAATTTCGCGTAACCATGGGCATAAGTCGGATGGATGTCGAGACATTCTGCCCGATAATTTCGCTAACCTACAAGCTAAGCGTTATAATCACAGTTACATTAATTCGCAGAATTGGGGTTGTGGAGATTTTTTCAGTTCACTGTCAAAGTTTCGCCATTTCTTCCGGCGCATCAGTGAAATTAGGAATGTCGGGGATCTCATGCACGTCCGCATAGGTTCATCCTGACCTCGTTTAATTCTATGAAACATCTGGAAGACAACTGAGCAAATGCCTCTTCAAACCTTGAAAAAGACTCTGAAGGACAAGTTTGAAACCATTATCCTTCTCCGCCTTTGTTTCGTACTTTTATAATGCAACCTAAATTATTTTCAATTCCTTCCCCTTCTCAGGAATGCTTGAACCACGACCTAGTGATGGAGGAGTTCTGGGACCAACTTTTCAGTGTGTTGTAGCGGAACAGTTCCGCCGCCTGAGAGTTGGAGATCGTTTCTGGCACGAAAATGCCCCAAACGCAACCTTGAACACAGACCGAACGGCGTTCAATGCTGCCATGCTACGGGAAATTAGGAATACAACATTTGCTAAAATCCTCTGTGACAATGCCGACGACATACCATTTATAAGCAGGAAGGTTCTAGAGCAGAGTAATAAAAGGGTGGCATGCAGCGCTCTACCAACCGTCAGTCTTGAGCCATGGGTGTGACACTGGGTAAGCTGCTTTTTCAGACATTTAATAGGTTAACGTAAACATCATCCCTCGATCACCTGATTGGACGGGACATTTCTGGAGATTTCTCCTTAAACACCATACAGTTCCCCATCGCTGTATAGTCCCTGGTATTAAGTCCTCAATCCCTGGTAACCACTTCGGGCCCGTTTGTTAGCTTACGTAAATGTATGCACTGTGCCCACCGGGTGCCAAAGGAGGAGATATGAGATTATTTCTTTTTATTCCCGAGGGCAATGGCTAGCAAGCTGGAGACGCTTTTGCTTCAGTCTCAGAGACAAAGGTGTTAGTTCCCGATAGATCCCGGGAGTACTCCTGGGAATTCTTGGCGGACGTGTGCCGCCTGGTTCCCAAAATCCTGACCCTATTTCAGACCAAAAAATGTTATTTTTCAACCCGTTCTCAGACCTGGCCTCTAAAATCCATACCCGTTTTCAGACCTGGCCTTTGGGCAAACTTTTTGTCGTCATTACTTAGATTAGACGGCAAACCAAAAAAATCTTCAAATGCAATTCGAAGTCGCATATTTCTATTTCGTTCTTATTCATTTGGAATTGACGCGATAAATACGTTCATATTATCCCTAGTTCCCTTAAAAACCATACGGGACTCCAGGGCAAAATAGAGGAAGTGTGTACCCATTTTCATTCCAAAAAGGCCCAAAACCCCACCTGGTGAGGCGGCATGTACGTACCTATATGGCTTATATAAGGAAGAATCCACCCCCGTCCAAAGATCTTCTCCAGCCAAGAGATCCTCTCCTCTCTCTTAATGTAATGGTTCCCCTTAGAATAGAAGTATCCTGTGACAGGTAAAACACCGCAGGAATAGCATCTCTTAACAGCACGGTATATGGATCCACCCCGCGCCCACCCCTAATTGGTTTTCCTATCGCTATGGATTCCACTAAAAAAAAACTGCACCTTTAACATACAAGCTGTTAGTCTGTTTGCTCAAATTTGGTGGCCGTTGGTTACTATGTTGAACTTGAAGCATGACGATGAGTGCATTGTTTATACTTTTTGATTGTTAAGATAATCGTTTCAAAGCGATATAACTTGAGCTTTTGCGTTCAAGGTTAAAAACTAAGTAAATTCCATAACCCTTTAACTCTTAAGCACACAAAAATAGGTGAAGGTTCATAATAGTCGGCTTGCTTTCTTAGGTCTAGTTAGATGACGTACCTCACTTGAGTTGAATGGAATTCAATGAGTTAAATTCATGTTAAGGACGGCGTCTGAATCAATTCGAAACGGCTAACAGATTTTGGATCGGCTCGCCTCTTGGTCATGAGTGACTTGTTACCCAGGAATGACGGCTGTAGAAAGGCGTTGATTTAGACCTACAACTTCAAGTGATAAACAGAACCAAATGCATAAATTTTATGATTCAGAATAGAAATGCGCGTTAATTTCCTTTTGAATTTAGTCTGGTATGGATGGAAAAAAGAACGGTGTCTGAGTCAATTCGCCCGCCCTAAAGTAATTCCAGTCGGCCTAAAATCGAATTCGTTTCGGCTTGGGTTTAGGTACTGTGACATTTTTGCACTCAGATGCCTTTGACCTAAACAAGGGTTGTACGCCGGAACTTTCTTTACAAAACAAACAATGAAATTACATGTAAAAATGTAGTTCATAAAACCGCTTAATATTTAATTACATGCAAATGTGATACATTTAGAAACTTCAACAACTTGGTAGTGCCAATATGAAAAATAGTACAGTGCGTGATGAAGCGCTTTCTTAAAAAAGCCTCGTGATGGGAGAAATAAGCATTTTATCGACCTTCTACTGAGGGGTATTTATCAGATTTTTACCGAGTCGCTATGTGGTTCTGTGTCCTCATACAGTAGCAGACTTGAATAAATTTGATATCCATCGTTCCAGGCCCATAATTAACAGTTACGTTACTTTCTTTTTTCTGCAGAGTACTTAACAATGTTAACGATGATCCAAGCAATACACATGATTCAACCAAATCAGAAAAAAATACATCCGTGATAATTATCTTGCTTAATGGTAGACTAGATGAACGACTATTATAGAGGGCTGTAATAAAAGCCAAGGACCGTGAATACAAAAAATGCCATTCATTATGTATTGTATGAAGGAATGCAATAAACATTTTGCTTGACGAACGATATGCGTGCTTTTCTTTTTGTGTGTCTCACTTTATTTCAGCAGCTAAATTATATTTTGTGATCTCCACTACATTTATGAGTGGTTTTGTGAAAAGAAACAATGTGTAACGATGAAAACTGGCAAATGCCAGTTAAAAAACATACCTGGAGTAAAGGATCGTTAATACTATTCTTGGAGAGCCAGGGACAACCAATATGGCGTTTTTACGAGGGTTGTCCAATCGGGTTCTTTTAACAAGTAAGAATTACCGAAAAATAGTGCTTGCGTACAGGAAAGAAGACATTCATATGTCATGTTGTTGTTTGCTCGTGAATCACAATAAACAGAACGAACACGACAGTGACGCGTTACCTTTCAATTTTAATGTTCGTACGATGTTTGTTATACTCGCAGCATCTTGAGATATTATTAGCGCTAGATATATAGGTCGCCCTCGCTTTGTAACTATTAGCGCGTTTCTACTTTGTGTGAAAGCGAACTTGTTTTGCGCGGTTAGCCTATAGAGCGAGGAATATTCATAAGAATTATGGCGCGTTTTTAATTAGTGTAACAGCGAACTTGTTTTGCGTGGTTGGCTTATAGAACGAGGAATATTCATAATAATTATTAGCGCGTTTTTACTTAGTGTAAAAGGCAACTTGTTTTGTGTGGTTGGCTTATAGAACGAGGAATATTCATAATAATTATTAGTTCGTTTTTACATGGCGTAAAAGCGAACTTGTTTTGCATGGTTGGCTTATAGAACGAGGAATATTCATAATAATTATTAGCGCGCTTTTACTTGGTGTAAAAGCGAACTTGTTTTGTGTGGTTGGCTTATAGAACGAGGAATATTCATAAGAATTATTAGCACGTTTTTACTTGGTGTAAAAGCGAACTTGTTTTGCGTGGTTGGCTTATAGAACGAGGAATATTCATAATAATTATTAGCACGTTTTTACTTGGTGTAAAAGCGAACTTGTTTTGCATGGTTGGCTTATAGAACGAGGAATATTCATAAGAATCATAGCGTGCTTTTACTTGGTGTAAAAGCGAACTTGTTTTGCCTGATCGGGATATAGAACGAGGAATATTCATAAGAATTATAGCGCGCTTTTACTTGATGTAAACTTGTTTGTGTGGCTGGCTTATAGAACGAGTAATATTCATAAGAATTATAGCGCGCTTTTACTTGGTGTAAAAGCGAACTTGTTTTGCGTGGTTGGCTTATAGAACGAGGAATATTCATAATAATTTTTAGCACGTTTTTACTTGGTTTTAAAGCGAACTTGTTTTGCATGGTTGGCTTATAGAACGAGGAATATTCATAAGAATCATAGCGCGCTTTTACTTGGTGTAAAAGCGAACTTGTTTTGCGTGATTGGGATATAGAACGAGGAATATTCATAAGAATTATAGCGCGCTTTTACTTGATGTAAAAGCGAACTTGTTTTGCGTGGTTTTCTTATAGAACGAGGAACGTTCATAATAATTATTAGCGCGTTTTCACTTGGTGTAAAAGTGAACTTGTTTTGCACCAATAGAACCATTGGAATGGCATCATTTTCCATTGGTACCAATCGCACCATTGGTACCAATGGACCATCGGAATTGCCCTGTACCCAGCCAGGTCACATGGGAAAATAATCTAAGTCCCCTTAATGAGATGCATATTCACCAATAGAACCATTGGAATAGGGTGCTTTTTCATTGGTACCAATCGTACCATTGGTGCCAATGGACCATTGGAATTGCCCTGTGCCCAACCAGGTCACATGGGAAAATAATCTAAGTCCCCTTAATGAGATGCATATTCACCAATAGAACCATTGGAATAGGGTGCTTTTCCATTGGTACCAATCGTACCATTGGTACCGATGGACCATTGGAATTGCCCTGTACCCAACCAGGTCACATGGGAAAATAATCTAAGTCCCCTTAATGAGATGCATATTCACCAATACAACCATTGGAATAGGGTGCTTTTCCATTGGTACCAATCGTACCATTGGTACCAATGGACCATTGGAATTGCCCTGTACCCAACCAGGTCACATGGGAAAATAATGTAAGTCCCCTTAATTAGATGCATATGCACCAACAGAACCATTGGAATAGGGTGCTTTTCTATTGGTACCAATCGTACCATTGGCACCAATGGACCATCAGTTTGACGAATCGTATCCGTTTGTGTTTATTGGACATGTGTGGTTTTTACCCATTACAAGCAGCTATGCAAATTTATCTGATAATGCAAGCGTCTAGATAAGAAAGGCTTTCAACCCCCACGTGACTAGTATTTGGACACCAAGATGGCCTAAACGCCGTTTTTTATTGTTTACGGACTCCATCAGGGCGGACGTGACGTCAAGTGAAAAGGGACTATGCTCCATTTTCAAATCCCCCATGATACACTCTGTTTGCCCCCCCCCTTAAATTTCAAATCCTTCTAAGTGGACCGCACATTCCCAAAGCATTTTTAAATAACTTATGCAATCTTTGGGAGGAAAACAGAGTGCTTTATGGGGAATTCGGTAATCAGGACTACGAGTTCTTGTTTTGGCAACCACTTGACAATGTGGCCGTGTTGGTTGACAATAAATTAATACAGCACAGTGTTTTTATTTCTTAAATTTGTACGAAAAATAAGTTTAGTTCCTAGCTGAAAACAAATTAAAACAAAACAAAACAAAAAAAAACGCATGTCAACCAACATGCCGCTATGAAGTCAGGTGCAATAGCCTTTATGCATGTTTACGTCACACAAGCAAATTTCACCACCAAGCCTCGTTTTGAAATTAAAAATAAGCGAAGTTTCACAGAAATGAATTCCCAAGGCAGTAGAGTTGAAAAGAATACCCACGCACAAAAAGTGCAAATGCAAAAAATTTTGTTCACAAACGAGGCTTGTTGGTGAAATTTACTCGTCTGACGTAATCATGCATAGGGGCTATTGAATTTTCTTTTGTTTTCTTGTAAAATTGCTCAATTCTCCCAAACGAGGGTGCCTACCCAAAAAAGAACGGAAATTTAATGTTTGAAAATCATCCGGATTTTAAGTAAATACGTTCTGTAAGAATGACCAAATTGCACTTATTAAGTGATCAGTAAAAAAAAATCATCTTTGTTAGTTTTATCAGCGTTGATATTGATAATTAACAATAACAATGCTAAAAAGTATTACAAGTATTATAATAATTAAAGTGATCAATGAAAGATCAGTCCTCGATTTTCATGGTAAAGCTTTCTTTTAATATCACAGGGCAGAATTGTAGAATTGCAGTCATTTAATGGAGAGCTTTAGATTTGAGGATAAGAACGAGTACGAATACGAGATTAAACTTAACGTTTTGGCGCGTGTTCTCAGAAACAAAAAGACACCCCGGAAAGCTTCATTTTACTTTTTTTCTCTAAAAAAGTTAGTAGGGTTAATTATACTGAAGGAGGAAAAGTCCTCTCCCGATAGAAAAATGACAAAACTTCTTACATTTGTTAACTTGTTCCTGCCACTACGACATTCTCAATAAAACTCGTAGTAGTAACACTAGGGACCTTAAGCAAAGACGACGACGACGACGGCAGTGAAAACGTCGATAAAAAAGTGAATTTGCGTTCTTTCAAACTTAATCGCGTTCATATGCACCCGCTCAATATGTCAATGCGGGCGACTAATCCTGGAGTTGAATTCTCAAGGATTTTATTCAGGTTCAAAAAGAGAAAGGAAAATTTGTCGTCGTATGTCCATATGTCCTTCATAAAACGTCAAATGAGGAGGTTTCACGACGTAGTCCTGCAGTCGACGTCAAAGAAAAGTACTAAAAAGCGTGATTACGCGCCGTTGCGCGCTACGCGGTCACCTGCTTTTAGTACGTGCTATAAACGGTTTGTGTTAAATTATGGCGGCCGATCGAGTAAAGAGCGCTCGACTTCATGTCAGGATTTACAAGTGTATGCCAACTCTATGGACCGTGTGGGCAAGTAAATTTTGTTTTAATCGGGTATCAAAGTGTCTATGACTCTTTAGCGACTGGAACGTTCTTTGAGAGGAAGAGATCCACCAAGTTCAAAAGCTGGTGCCAGGTGCGTCGAGGCAATGCCCTTCATGAGTCTTCGCGATTCTATTACGCTTACATGTAAGTATGATAAAGAGTTTTTTGTTTCTTCTTTTAGTACAACCTGTTTCTGAAACGATCAAGCATACGTCTTTCCATGGTTTGTAAAATGGTATACTCCGGTACTACTATAATTTTCATTAATTGACATCAGTACAGTACAGTTAACGTTGCTTGATCGACTTCACACCATGTCTGCAAGTTATTTATTTACAGGTCACATTCCACAGGTCAGAATACAGGTCGCCGTGCTACAATTAAATAAACAAGACCAGAAATGTCTGTTGCCCTAATCCCTATATGAAATTTTCCTTTTGATCAAGGGGAAATTATTTGGTTTAGTTACCTTGATCAGTGAAAAAGTGACTTTGATTTCATTGGACCTGTGGAATGTGACCTCAGTTTAAAACAAACCTCTCCACCATGTTTAGTCGTAGTCCTCTGTCATTCTCACGTTAATGGGAATGGTTTCCTTGAGCAGTAGTAAAGGTTCACACCTAGCTTGAAGGCTAGGCGTAAGATTAGAATCAAGATGTGCTAGCTCTTGGGAGTAATGAATGTAATCTTTATTTCCGTTTGGAAATCCCTTGAGAATTTCCTAAGAATTCACAGGAGTATTAAAACTATTAAACACTAAGGAATTTCTTTCCTTGCAAAATCTCACTCACTCCTTGAAAATTTGGCAAGCCAAGGCTTGCTTGAAAATTGAAGGGAGCCCTGGGTAGCTCTGATTTAGGGCCTGTTTACATGGAAGTGGAGGACTCCAGATAGGTGAGGTAACATGTGGCGGGTCAACCCACCTATAATGTAAACATGATCAAAT